TAGATAAATGTTATTGATGGCCATGACTTGCGATTTAGCGTGGGTTTGTTAGACATCAAATGCTAATGATAACGCACAGCTATCCGTAGTAAGTGGGTCTCGGAGAATCGCACCCACGACTTTTTGAATACAATGAAATTTGTGTAGGTGGGCTTTGCGCATGTTGGAGGCGCGAAATGGATCTGATCGGACAAGTGAAATTCTTCCACTCTTCGATATCGGTGATTCCAGAACATAATCTTTAGATCATCATCTCGGGAAGTTATTTTCCTTAGTTTTTGTTTTGCGTTTTGTGCACTGTGTAGATGTGCATAAAATGAAATCATATTGGAAGGTTCATGGCTGTCAATTCTCTTATTTAATTTTTATAACTATTTTACAAATTTTATATTGAAATTAAATTAGATGCTGTCGTTGATGGATCCCAAACTTGGAAAAACAGACAAAGGAAGCTAATTAAAAAAATTAGGAAGGGTAATATGAAATGAGATATTAAATTATCTTTTACATATTACGGGCTATGATAATTATTGTAATAGGCATAGGTTATACTTAGAGTAATCAGGATGTCCCGGATTCTAATCCAGGCCCGGAGACCTCGTATACTGACTGTTCTTTTGTGGTTTCCCATACCCCGTTTAGGAAAATTGTGGGATGTCTTTAATTAGGCCACGACATCTTCCTTCCACATTAATAAATTTGTTACTTATCAAATTGTCATCTCATCTGACGGTATATATTCTGAGCGACTGAGAGTGGCTTTATATAAACCATAAAATAAAGTTGAAGATAAATTTGCCCCAGACGTTAATTAAGCACCAGTCCATGAAGGCTTATGAGGTAGTGGAGGTAAAGCTATTTTATTCCTAATTTAGATATTGGACAGTGAATGTTGTGACGTGCACGTATAACTGAGAGTTTATCTAAGCTCTTACTTTGTCTTAAGATCTCTCGTATAGGCCTGTGCAATCGAAAGACTGGGACAGACTGTGAACCGATACAATCCGTCCTACCGTGGACAAACGACAGAGGTAATTAGCCTCATAATCTGGCTAATGTACTTTTTGCTTCAGATTTGTGTTGGTGAAAACGGCCAATGATTGTATGGATTACGTTGTATTAAAGCAGGGTTTCTGCGTTCATCGTCCCTTTTTGACCGCGTCTTTCAGAAATTTGTCTCGGGGCTCATTTCCAGAATTGTTTGTGTTAGTCGCTTGGTTTCCTGTTTGCCGACATGTTCGCGGTGCGATATCCCGATAATACTCTGTAATCAAGATTGATATCATTATTTTTCTCACGTTTAGATGTGTGCGGACTAGTGTTTTTTTTAACATACGAGTAAAAAGGATTTGTTTTTCACTGCGTACATGTTACAAAGGCCTGTATTTTAAAAGTGTCACGACTTTACTTTTGAACCCGACTATATATCTTAAGTTACGTGACGTACGATTACAGAAGGGCATCTTCGTACGTCGTATATAAAATAGTTGTCTAAATTGCTCTCATTTTCTGCTCGTCCATTGTCTTTCTCGCCGCAGCTGTTGCGAGTTTGCGGCAACGCTATTTAGCATAGTGGAGTATGTAATATGCATAAAGAGGAGAGGCAAGGAGGGATAGATAAAGACGGGAAAGGAGAGCGAGAGAGAAAATTCATATATAAGAAAACTTGTCGTTAATGTCGTTATGTGCCTAACGCGTCAACTTACGTCACTGACTTATAAATAGAATAGAGCGCGGCGTAGGAAACTAGCAAGGCTTTATGGCTAATGGCTAATGGCTAATGGCTAATGGTATGCCTACTGACTGAGTGGGGACAGATGTTATTGGGGGGTGGGTCTCGCGATTATTCTGTAATTAGGGACTTCTACTTTATGGTCCTAGATGGTATGGGGTGGGGGGTGGGGTAGAATGGTGGTACGGAAAGAGGTAAATACTGGCGGTTGGGCGGTGAAGGCAATAATCACAGACTAGGATCTTTCCAGCATCCTTGGTGCAGTTCTTTGGACAGAACGTCAAGGAAAGAACCACCGGCGTAAGAAAATGCTAGTAATCGAGCCCTAGCTATTTAAGGCCAGGTGCTTTATCGAAGATTTTGTCCTGTGGCAGATGCTCACAACGTAATTCTTGATCTCGAGATTTCTGGTGATTGGAATGCTGAGTTTCTGCTCCTGCAGAACTGCGAAAATATTGAACCTAGGCCACGGGATTAAAAGTAGGTCTGCTGCCAAATATCGATAACATCGGAGCCATCGAATGAAATGTCGATAGTCAACCTGCTCAGAATACAACCACTCCTACAGTTTATGTTCTGTTTTCAGTTTGAAATTCGTGCCAAGGCTTCTATTTTAATACCGAAAGATTAATCGAATATTTTTGAAATAGGTTAAATATATGTGAGAGATATTTCGGAGTTCTCAATATCGATCTGCTGAGATTGTTTGAACTAGGATTCGTATTTCAGTCTCACTTCCTCTCGTACGTGCGTTCTGACCTTCATACAAACTAATGCTTTACAATCACCGTAATTAGGCCGACAAAGGTCACGAATGTCACTTGATTGGAGAGTGGATTGCTGTAAGTGCATTCCATGTTCGTTTCTTGTAGTGATTAAGAATGTTCGTGTTTGTGTTCAGTTTATACATTCACGTTGTGTGAGTCAATAAAGAGATTCCTACATAAAAACCTTGAACTCTGGACCCCTGTATTAAATGGCAGACTTAGCTGCCAAACATGGGCGTTGGTTCTTCTAAGTCAGTACTGAAATGTCACGTGTTGATCTAGAAAGCCGTTTTCGTGTTATTTCGTGGCCGAGTAGTTTACGTCATTGTCAGTATAGTAAGTTACTAATTTCAGTGATATTTTTAATTTCATTATTTTATATTTTACTTAAAACGCGCGTAGGAAAGGATTGCAAATTTTAGCAGCAATTTTAGCAGTAATGCCACAAGTGAAGAGATCAGTTTCGCTGGTATAGATAGGTAAAGGTATTAAAATTAATTTTAAATGAATAAGGTAGGAGGATGTGAACTGCATTTGATGGGCCGTAGAGTGTAACTGACGTCTTAGTATTTTGAACACGGTAATGAATTCCCGGGTTTTGTAGAAGGCGGGAAATTTTCTGGTGAGCTGAGCGACTGTCGGCGTTTAAAAAAGGACTGTGATTCGTGGAGTTAGTTACTTGCAATTAGTATTTTTCTCTCAGAAGACATGAACGTTTCTCAAAGGAGCGGTTCTAACAAATTTCACCCTAATTTGCGATTGCCCGGTTAAACAGCGACACGCACGACTTTCTTGTAGCCATAAACGTGGCGGGTTGAACTTTCAATATAAAGTTTGTATTCAGTCTGTAAAACGTGTTACTTTGGTTCAAGTAGAAACACTATCAGTCAAGGGGCAAAATTAACTGGCATATTCAGAGTTCGGCTGAGCATTCAAACTGAAAGAATGAATTTCTCGATTTTAAACCGTATCGGAAATCTGCCTAATTTATAATTTTTTATGAGTGATGGTTAGTTGTGTTTAGTTTGTCATAATTTCGAATTAATATTTTCCACCCAGGACGAAAATTCTCGACGTGTGATAGTGAACTATGCATGTCACCTCTCTCTGCTTGTTCCTCGTCTTTGTTTTACTCCTCCACACACACATGCTGAATACACTACAGCTTGGTGGTCAGTGTTACATCATTGGGTATATTTTGTGAATTTGACACGTGGTATGTGATAGGCGTATTTAATATAGTATTTTTTTCTTAATTAACATTTAACTTCATAATATTCATTTCTTATAGGCAGCGTTTCGCGATCCTTATGAGTTTTATTTTATTTTATTTTGCCTTATATTAATTGCAGAATACGAAATGAATAGAGACAAAATTATTGCCGGTGTCTGTATTTTGCTTAACTGTCAAAGTAATTTTTATCAAAAAAAAAATTGTTTTTTTGTTAACTTTCAGTTTGTGTTTGTAAACCTGCGCCCTATATACGGCCCTGATTTAAGCTAAATAGTGCTCCAGTTATTATTATTAGTGTTCTGTCTGACGACAGGTCCATATATTATGAACAGGATCCTTCCATCCTCTTCAGGTTGTCAGGGCCCTGCTCATACATATATACGTTGTTGGCGGAGATGATCAGACGTGGTTTGCCATTGCCTTCTTCTGTGTGTGTGAGTGGAGTAATTGTTGAGATGCCACGGAGAAACCGGGGAAGCCCCCCGGAGGAAAACTCCGTGGTGCCTAGACCACGGCCTTGCCCAACACAAGTTATAAATCTGAACACCACCGGGAATTGAACCAGGGGACCCCAGGATTACAAGGCTAGTGTTCTGACCGCTAGACCACCGTGGCAGTAGTGCTCCAGTATTCACATTTATATAGGCCAATCGTTTGAGTGTTATGCTTCAATTTCTGAAAATAAAAATCTTTTATACACACGCCGGTGTTCTGAAATTTGGGACCAAGTGTTAAAATTCATTTTGAAAACTGAGATGAGTTAATTGCGTCCCAAGCGGTGTGCTGCTGTGTGACAAACCAGGTTAAACTAACCTAGCGATGACCTGATGACGGGTCTGAGGCAGTCCTGACGTAATGAATGACCTTGAATTAATTTAAGTTGCTTACTGTGAGTTCAACAGCTGGAGAATGTGGAGCATTTCAAGTACTTGGGAAGCATAGTCACGACGGACGCCCTATGCACCAAGGAAGTAAAAGCAAGGATGGCCATGGCCAAGGCAGCTTTCGTCAAGAAGTGGATACTTCTCACTAGCAAGTTGGGCTTGGAGATGAAGAAGAAACTAGTGAAGTGTTACGTATGGAGCAGAGACTTGGACACTCAGGAAGAAGGAACAGAAATACCTGGAGAGTTTTGAAATGTGGTGTTGGAGAAGAATAGAGAAGATCAGGTGGACAGATCGAGTGACCAACGAAGAATTATTGAGGAGAGTCAACGAGCAAAACAGCTAACCGACGACCTTAAACAAGGAAAGAAGATGACGTTCCAGGAATTAAAGCGAGAAGCCGAGAATAGGGACAACTGGAGAGCTCTGTTTGGGCAGAGCAATGGACCTGTCGTAAGACAGAACACTTAATAAAAAAAATACTGTGAGTTCACCGGTCGTGCCGACCTGCTGTGACAGTGCAAACGGGACAAAAACAGAGAAACATCCCTTCCGATAATTGTCCACCCCTTAAGGGGCAGAGACGAGTCAGGTTAGTCACATGTAGGTCTGTATTGACCAATTCCTCTACTGTTTAATGTTTCTACTTCAGCTGCAGTGGTAAAATTATGGGAGCTGGTAAGGGTGTGGAAGGAAGTGCGCCTGACCTATGTTAAGGTATGTTCCAGTCTTTGTTTGGAATTACTGAGGAAGATCCGGGACCTTCCTAGTACGAAGCATTTTACTGTTACGTTGAGTTTGTCGTCAGGTTTCAAGTTCCATGTTGCCATATTTCCATTAAATATTGCTTTTATTGGAAGTTAAAATTAATGTATACACCATTCGTTATAATTTTTACTAGCCAGTAATTAAAATGACACCATCAAGTCGCAACAAGCAAATATCATGGTAATGACATTTGAACAGACGTGCGAACCTATTCAATTACATGGTGAGTTGACTGCATCGGTGATTTGTGGCTGCCAGTACATTAAATAAATCAAACTAAAGATCTAATTGAACTTAACTAAATTTTTGAAGTATTATTAAAGCTGGAGACTGTTCGTATTACACAGTTTACCCATTAATATCCTCGAACCGTGAATGTAGGACGACTACGGATGTATTGTTATTATTAAATCGAATTATTATTCAGGTATTCATTTTAATTACTATGTTACTGGTGTCTCAATTTTGCTATCTGATTTATAAGAGATCTTGGTGTTATGTTAGATAATAAATTGTATTTCTGTTGTCATGCTTGTTTTGCATGTAGTCAGACAGTAAGGACGACGTTAGGGCTTATTATATACAGTTTATTTTCTTTACAGAGTCTTCTTGTTTTTATATGCTTTAATCAGTTCAAGGTTTGAGTTTGCCTTGGTCCTATTAAACATTTTTAAATCGACTGACTACAATAAAATATATAGCATAGAAAACAAATCTGCAAGTTTGTGCTGTTACACTAATTTCATAGTTTGGAAGTTTACGTAATTATGATTTAATTTTGAATTGTGTAAATTTTAGCACACCTTACTACTCGAGACATCTCAACTTTCTTACTAATGTTTGCATGGGTGATTTAAGCACTGTAGTTATTCGTGTGCCTAAATGTAAGTAAGAGATTTTTATTTTAACTTAAGCACTACGCCAAGACATAAACGTTCAATTGGATACGTCATTACTGCAAAAAGTACAGATTTGTCGACATTTTAAGCAAGAAAGATGTTTCCTTTGAGAACATCTTACCGAGATGAGAAAGCGTTTGGATTAATTACATCTATTTAGTTTTGTTTTCACTTGTTTTAGTTTAATGCTTCATATGTATTTATTTATAACTGTTGCCAGGGTCTTTTTTGTTGGAAAATACTCTAAGAAAGGAATTTAATTTATATAAATAATTTTTCTTTCCTTGCATAAAGAATAAAAGACTAAAGGTATTTGAATTTAACAAAAAAAATTTCACGAAGAAGGGAATTGTTTATACACAAGCTTACGAAATGTTCGTAATGGGAGTTTCCAGTGTACGCGGAATGGTCATTATCCTGTCGGTCCGGGACACTCCGGCTTCCTTAACGACTGCTATAGTCTCCAATTTTACGATCCAACCATTCCACCTCTTTACAGCCCCAGTCGAAATGTATGAGGAGTCAACATGGTTTCAGACTTATAGTATATGCCAAATAAAAACAATAGAACAAAAAAGAGTTTCATATTTTATTGTGAAGTTATACTATAACGTAACGCGCTCTCTGTTTAGTGCTGGTGACTTAGAAATTTCAGGGGTAAAAAGATTTATGAGCAAACGACTTTAGGAGCTCAAATGTTTCGAGAGCTAGAAGAAGGAATGGAGGAGAAAGGGCGACCTGAAAAAAGGCAGTCGAGTTAGAAGAACGATTGTAAAAATGGACGGAGGAAGCGATAAAGTTAAAACATGCGTATATGGGGGCTGTTCTCTTCGAAGATGAGGGAAAAAAAAAAGAAACGAAAAGAAAAGAAAAGAGAAGAGAGGGTTCACCAATCGGCCTGCATGTGTGGCGCTGAGATCTGGGTGGCTGGCCGCTACTACAACATCCATGTCACTGGGAATATTTCATAGTCGTAATTCTGTAACGACTTTACGCAGGCCAGTGTGAAATGAAAGACAAGGCACTTTTCTTCTTCATTTGTTTGCAGCAAGTTACTGTCTGTGATTCAGCAGACGAAAGGTTTTACATCACTTTGTGCTGAAAATCTCTGTCCATGTAGTTTTATAAGAAAAATGTTGTGAACTACAATAAAAAATAAACATTGAAAAAAGACTTGTCCCTTGAATGTGGTAGCCAGACTAAAGAGTGAGTTGAGCCTTGCATTAATCGCCCAGTGTCTCTGGAAGCTGCTTCTAATAGTCTTTCTGCTAAGATGCAGCCTGATTGGTTTTGCGTATAGAAAGTTTGGATGAACTGTCAGATCTCTAGGAAAATAATATGTGAATATATTGGCAACTCGTGACTGATAACACAATTGGCGATGCTGTTTCGTGGTTTTATGTTACATGTTAAGTTGTTTTGTAGAGGGTTTCTCACCAATATCTCTAGTATGTTTTGTATTCCTATCCGAGTTAGTCTACACGTCGGCCAGATGTATTCAGAAATTACGTCTGAATTTAAAATCAGAGACAGTGTTTCAAAATAGTACAGACAACTTCGAGTGGATGTTTTAGAGTTGTGGTCAATTTTTGAAACCAAAAATAGTGTGATTCTTAAAAACTGCATGACATGAATTGCAGGATATAAATGTTAAACCTTGCCCATCAGGACTCTTTCATCATCTAAATTCTGTTTGTAATTAACAAACATTGTCCTCGCTCATTATCCCAGGCATGCGCCACAGCTGGTCACTGCCCTGTGGAACATCGTGATCGTCGAAATGTTCCCGTCATCCCGTTAAGTAATCTTGTTAAAGAGTAATTACAAGCTGTAACGTCGAGACGTTGCGGACAATGGCGGGATGTTTATACTAAATTACACACTTTAATCACATAGCTCGTTTTAAAATATTGCATCTTGGGTATCCAAAGTACGTATGGGGACTCCACTCGGTTTGCTGTTGCAAACGTAGGCTAACTTCATAGAGTCGATTTGCCAGCTTAGTCAAACATAAAGCACTGTGTAGACACGTAGGAACATTGAGCCTTCTGCGTGATTTCATAGACTCTATAGATGTTATGCCACGCAATGAAAGATTTTGTCCAAATTAAAACAAATACGCTCATCATGTTACTATTAACTGATTACAGATCACTTATAGGTTTGGATTGACCGTGAGTTGTATATTTGTTCAGTTGGATTTTATGAAAATTGACATTGAAATGCCACTAGAGTGGGACACACAGATGGCAGGCATCATCCTGTAAGGTGATTATGCTTTTCGATCAGCAACTAAATGTATGTGTCTGAAGTAATCAGGCCTAATCTGCCAGACAGTTTCCTTCTTTTCTGTTGGAAAAACATTTCCGAGATTACATATGAATAATGAATGAATGTTATTATTATCAACTGTGATTATTTCTCAGTACGTAATGTCAGTCTTAAAATATTTGTAAACTACAATTGACACACAGTTTATTACTGTGTTTTGACTATACTTTGTGAATGAAAGGTTGTTAGCCTTCCACTCGACTGCTAACAGAAAGAGGTAATTCATTATGCAAGACTTTAATTTTAGTTATTGGATTTACATATGAAATAAGAAGACTGTAAGATGTAAATTTGCACATATTTTAAGGCTGTTTAAAGCAAATACAGCTTACTGTGGGCGAAATAAAATGAATGCAATTTCTTTCAAAATATTAGACTTGAATGCATGCTGATTTCGTATAATTGATACAATTTTTAACAGCCACGTAAACCCAAGCCTGTACGTGTTCTACATATCTTTGTGTTCGACTCATGTTTGTTGCTTTTATACAGTGAAATTTGTTAATGTGATTGACAGCGCCTTGTGTTGTGTAACCCTCGCCTTTCTAATACTGGATGATGACTGTAAAAGTTGTAAGTTATTAATATGAAGTATAACGTTACAAGAAAAAGCAAACTAATACCTTCCTCATCAATCAAGCAGAAAACAAAATAAACGAATGCTTCTTAGAGGACATGTGTAAGAACAGTTTTATTTTAGTTTACGGCATTAATATGCTTAAATTGACTGCGCGTGAAGTGTTGTGGTAACGTTGTATTGTCCCGAATGACGTATATAACAAAATTGTGTCTGGAGGTCGAAGAATATTATAATATGGCTTTTTCATCATTGTTTTATGGCCGTAAACAGAATACTACGATGCTGTTTTCAATATTTTCGGACAGGTTTTGTGGTAGTAGTGTTTTAACCAGCACATTTATAGATCCTTTGCATGCAAGATAAAATATTGGACAACACAATACGAATAGGAGATTCCTGCAACTGTTAACCTTTGATCAGAATGCAGTAGTCTCTGTCTGAACAACCGATTAATGTATGCTCTGGCCTGCTCATTATTCTTCTCGTATTCGTGTCTTCGAGGAATCAGCAGAGCAACACAGCAGTTGATTCCATGGCCTCGTTTGATAAAATCCCGACAACGAGATTGATCTAAACGGAATTTACTCATAAATTGTGAATGATTGCTTCAACATAATTGATTTCTAATTTTGCTTTATATTATGTCATAGGTCAGGCCCAAGAAAGCAAAGAGGGGGTGGAAATGAATGGGGCACGTTAGCTTCTGGTCTATGCCGATGACGCTAATTTATTGAGCGAAAATATAAATACTTCAGAGAGAAACACAGAAGCTCCATTAGATGCTGGTAAGCACGTTATTTATCGTCACCAGACTACAGAAAAATAATTGTATAAAGGTAGCCAGTGTATCCTCTGGAAAAAGTGTTTAAGTTCAGGTATTTGGGAACAACGCTAAGAAACCAGATGTGCATTCGCGAGAAAATTAAGAGCAGACTGAATTCAGGTATTGCTTGCTACCGTTTATAGACCTAAAAAAACTCTCAGTCATACTTTATTGAATATTTTATATTATATTGGTGGAGATTAACCACTGCCATGACCATTCACGGGGGTCCGCAGTGGCCGCGCGGTCGCTGGGACCGTGGGTTCGAATCCCACTCATACCATGGATGTTTGTCTTCGTTTTTCTGTGTTGTGCTGTCCTGTGTACAGGTAGAGGCCTTGCGACGGGCCGATCCCTCGTCCAAGGAGTCCTACCGAATGTCTATAGATCGAGCCAACGAAAAGTTGGGACCCGCAGTGCTCAGGCACTTGAAGAACGGGTCGTTCCCAGTATCCCAGTATCCAGTATGACCATTCACGGAACAGTTAATGACATGTTGACTTACATCACTGTCATTTTGAAACGTAGCTCTGTCTGCTCAGCCGCGATGCCTCAACTCCCTCGCCGCTACTGCACTCAATTTACTTGATTGTAAAAGTAAAGCAAGCCATCCGTTCTGCGCTGATGTCTCCTGCAGATCAAAAGAGAGAGAAGCAAACATTTCTGCATAAGGCTCAATTAGGCAGATGACTGCAGAACAGGAATCCATCTTGTATGGGCTCATTATGTGTGTATACAACCCCACCCCTCACTTGTAAACTAAAAGTCAGTGAAAGGGGGTTGAAAGCTTCCATTTTTGGCATATTTTTTGTTTGAGAATTGTTCGTGGTTTTCTTGTTTTGTCAAGTCGGAAACCACCAAGAACCTTGGCTAGAATGTATAAAACCAGTGATTAAAATGTAAACTGCGTGTTAGAATACTCGTTATTGTTATGATCAAAGAAGCAAACGAAGTGACATTTGTAATTGCATGGAGAATTACCATAAAATAGATGTAACTCTATCTATCTCACTTAAGGAACTCAAGTTGCTAAATTACAGTGATGAAATATCTCGTTGGTTAAAGAATTTCAAGAGCGTAACTTTACGCTCTGTAAGTTTACGCTATGTAAGTTGGAAAAAAGAAATGACAGCGTAAATACATTAATTCACGGGTGTCAGGGGGGAAGGGTATAAGTCATAAAATAATATTACACGATTTACACACAAAGCCAAGCTTGAAGTGACAGTTTTGCCAAATTACAGTATGAAATACTGAAATAGCAGTAATACTTCTGTTCTAATATTTTATTTATAGAGAAATCCCTTCACCCTGGTACAGGAAAAGTATCTACTCTTGCTTTAATCTACGTTTAGCTACATAACGCAGACTTAATAGCGAAGTAAATTTCTCAGTAACCGAGAAAATTCGAACTTGATTTATACTCCTTTACTGGTAGACCGAACTTCGGAGTCCAGTGGTTAGCACTCTTGTATCGTGTTCCAAGGAGACTTGTTGTCCTGACAGGTTTTTCGTGGTTTTCCTCAAGGAAAGATCAGTGGTACCACCTTAAATTAGGCCACAACTTCTAGTTTTCACATCCTCTCGAATTCATTATTCATTAATCATTCTATCACGTGACGTTGTATAGCGTGAGTTACTGACAACGCCGTTAAATAAACCAGAAACAAATAAATAATTCTGGTAGTTGTACCGCTAGAGCCGTGAAATGTAGGTTAGGATGAAGATGGACATGGAACTTGGTTTAAGAAATCACAACAGCATAGAGATGTTTAAATACCTTACAATTCGATCACTGATAATCAAGATGAAAAAGGGAAGACAACATTAAAATTTATCTTAACATTGAAGTATGTTGTGATAACATGGTTTTGATTGGAATAGTTTAGAATGGTATTGGTGGTGTATATTTGGATTGTAATAACAGGAAGTTACTTATTTAAATTACAAGATGTGAAGGTGTCACGGTGAAGGAATGAGGAGAAGTCTTCTCTTGCAGATAGCTCTGTCAGTGAGGCATGGATTTGCAGTATGTTAGAGACTGTTTCTGCTTCCATTGTCACCGAGTGATGCCAAGACACTCACCGAGATGATACAGATCCATTACATACTGACACAGCTGATGCCCGAAAAGGCTTCATTGCCGACTTTGGTCTTCTTAAACTTCCAAATGTGTGAAGCACAACACAGGACCACAGTCTCAGAACAAACAAGACTGT